TGTATTCACGCTCTGTCCTAAACGAATTGTTGGAGCGCCTGCCCCCCCCCTCCCTGTGAGCCCAGTGGCTGTCTGCGAGACAGCGAGACACAGCGAAACCCAGCCCGAAACACACACACACCCGCAGCCTGGCTGGGAGTTTGTGTGTGTGCCCAGGCTGAGTTCCGCGGTGTTTCGCCGACCCCACACCAGTGAGCCAGCTCACAGTGTCCCGCTCCTCGCAGCAGCGAGCCTCGCAACGTCCCGCTGAGTGTGTGTGTGTGAGGGAGTCCGCGGATTGGTCCAAACGTAACGGCTCGGCGGACGTAACGTAACGGCTCCGCCCGAAATACGTCACTGTACCCAAGAAGTAAACAATGGAAAAAGAGAAATCTCCAACGAGGCGTTCTGGGGCAGCATAGACAGGTCTTTTCTGTGTTAGAGTTTTACTCGCTACAGGGTGTACTTTGGGGGTTTGTGACTCTGCAGACCGTTTACATGCAGAAAAACCTTCATAACACACAAGGGGAAGGGTAATAACCAGAAAAGCATGTCATGGGACCTTTAAAGTATTATTAGCAGAGTTTGAGGGTCACTTTTGCCCCACAGGTAAAAATAGGCTCATTCAGTCCTTCCACCTCTCCTCCCCCTGTGTTTACAAGCATCGTCGCAATGATTAATTAATGCTCGCTCATCTTTAATCTCTTTCTCTGTTACCTTCTTCTCAAACCTTTTTCTCTCTTGTTTATTTTTCTGCAGCCAAAACCAGAAAACGCAGTGACCGTTGCCGTCTCTTCTCGAGTCTTGTTTCGGACCGAGCGGGAGCAGAAGGTGTTTGAGCAGGACGGCGTAGAGGAGTATCTGAGGTTCCAAATCGCACATGAGAACGAGCCCTTCACCCCTGGACCTGCTTTCCCCTTCGTCAAGGTTAAAGTCGCCCAAACACACACTTAACAGAGGCTTTGTTCTGTCCCAAGCTTCCTTACTTACTGCTTCTGTGTCCTTATAGGCTCTGGAGGCGGTGAACTGTCGTCTTCGGGAGCTGTACCCACAAAGTGAAGAACTGTTCGATATTGTTTTGGTGACGTACAACCATGCCCACGTTGGAATCCGGCTCATCAACACCATCAACCATCACAGTAAGTCGTGCAGAGATCAGATTATAAAGTTAACGTGGCTCCAAGCTTCAGAGTTAGACAGCAATGGCGGTAACACATTAGGTGAATTTAGCAACTTTGGAGCATTATAAAAGTATACAATGTGGGAACAAGAATATTGGCTTTAACATAGATTCCTGTCATCAGGTGACATCCTGTTGATAGGTTAGTAAGGTATCACATTTCAGACACCCACACAGACACTTAAAGTTCAGTTTGACAAGATCATTATCTTAATCTCCATGTGACCAAACTAAATATATAACCAGGACGGTCAAGTTTTGTCAAATCTATTTTAACACTATAAGAAGTCAAGTTAAAAGTCAAAATTGCCACAAAATGGTTACAAATTGCACAAATTACTTCCCAGTAATGCACATCCCAACATTACATAAATGGCCAATAATGTATGTTATGATTTCTATAGTGTTGAATTGAATCATTTCGACTTAAAGGGCCCATGTCATGCTGTTCTGGTTATTACCTTTCCCCTTGTGTGTAATGTAGCTTTTTCTGCATGTAAACGGTCTGCAGAGTCACAAACCCTCAAAGTACACCCTGTAGCGAGTAAAACTCTAACACAGAAAAGACCTGTCTATGCTGCCCCAGAACACCTCGATGGGGATTTCTCTTTTTCCATTGTTTACTTCCTGGGTATAGTGACGTATTTCGGGTATAGTGGTGATACGTTACGTCCGCGGAGCCGTTACGTTTGGACCAATCCGCGGACTTCCTCACACACACACACACTCGGCGGGACGTTGTGAGCTGGCTCACTGGTGTGGGGTCGGCGAGACAGCGAGATACCGCGGAACTCAGCCTGGGCACACAAACTCCCAGCCAGGCTGCGGGTGTGTGTATGTTTCGGGCTGGGTTTCGCTGTGTCTCGCAGACGGCCACTGGGCTCACAGGGAGGGGGGGCAGGAGCTCCAACAAGCCGTTTAAGACAGAGAGTGAATACACATACTATACAGAGATGCTGTATGAGAAACCAATGTGAGTTTGGAAAATTGCACAATGTACATTTATTTTAGTAGACCTCAACAATGGAATTATTATGATATGATAGAAATGGCCATGACATGGGACCTTTAAAGCAAATTAAGACTTTAAGAAGGAAGACTTTGCTTTAACGAGATACTGAAGCTGACACAAGCTGCGCTGAGACAAACATCAAATTGTATGAACAGCTGATGCTTCCCAGGGAAATCTCAGACCCTGTGGTGACATCTTCCTCACAGACCGCTTCCTGTTCAGATCCTCAAATGTTTTTCATGCCCTTGTAGCTTCAGACTGAGTTCAAGTTTACGTCCTCTGGGATGTAAGAATAATTCAAGAGGCCCAAAACAAAAACAGGTCCGAACGGAGCCACAAAAGCGAGGCTTGGCCTCCCAGATGCTTCCACGTTAGATCTCTCTGGTGGTTCTCTGCGTGAACGGCCCAATGCGTTCAACCTCTGATCTTTACGGCAGAACTTAAGGAAAACATGGCTGCTCTGATGTCACAGAGTTAAGGGTTTGTTGCAAAGGGTCTCCACAGTTGACATAGTCATAAAAAATGATTGAGAAAGAAACACTTACCCTGCTCCTTAGCTGTTTGAAGCTGAATCTGGGCTCTTAAGGAAACATTAGGATACTAATTGGTTTATCATCACCTGTTTACAACTGCTATTTTGGTAATGAGGTTTAATATTTCTCTCTTCCACTTGGGGGGGGGGGACTTAACTGTTGGCGATGAAAGCATATATGCTCGCCAACATTTACATGCCTCTACTTTGCATTTATACAACACACAGTAGGAGGACCCACGGGCCACAATGACTGGCAGGTCCTATAATGTGCTCCGTGTGCGGCAAATTGAAATGTCATGAGATGACATTAGGGTTCTCTGTGGAAATCAAAAATGGTGGCACTACATGACTTCACATATGCATGACATCCCACATCTAAACTGCACATGCATGAAGCCAATCATTCTTTGATGTGTCTGAAGTCTCTCTGCATTCCTGCTGGTTTCCGGCCGTCCTATTACCATGTTTTAGATCTTCTGAACAAGCAAATAAATCATAAGAGGATAAGTAATAAGAAAATATTTTTGAAAGGGGAGAAAAAAATATACAAAGACATCGACTTTGGAAACATTTCCCACAAAGTGACTCCCACGCACCCGTTTGAAAGGCAGCGGACGCTTGGGAAGGTTGCAATGATGGGTAGCACAGGGGCCAACATCACCAGGGCCTGACTACAAAGCTAAATAAACTTTTAAGGAAATCTGTAGAAGACAGTGGGTACTTTGAACTCTGTTTATTTCTATTGCTTAGTGTCTATTTTCCTCTGTCTCCATCCGGTGTCTTTGTTTCGACAAGTTTGAAATATATTGTGCTCTATTGCATACGTACAAATTCAACCAAAGCTACCCTTTACCACCCTGATGTGGGTAGAATGAGTTAAAAGTTAGAAAAAGGTACCCAATAGCAATACAATGGCAATACCCTATTGTCCAGAACTGTACATGTAAAAGCTAGGTTCAATACTTAATGCAAACCACACATTTGTTTAGATGAAAATATCTCAGATGCTTCTTTAATTCGATGAATCATACAGTTTTTCACAGAGACAATTGTCAATGTCAATGATGGACGAATAAACACAGGACTTTCATCAAGCAGTCAATGTTGAGGTAGTTTTACTCAGTAACTAAGGCAAATAACTTAAAGGTGACCTATCATGCAAAATGCACTTTTGTACGTCTTTCATACATGAATATGTGTTCCAGGGAACTCACCAAGTGTCAGAAAACACAACCCTCTCTATTTTCCTCCATACCCAAATCTCTTAAAAAGGGGCTGCAACGGATCTGATACAGACTGATCCAGATTTGAACACTTCTATGACGTCACAGAAGTGGCGCTACGGCTATTGGGCCAACTCCACCAATCAGGAGGAGACAGCCACGGACATTGCCGTTGGAAAGCGCTGGAGACGCTGTAGTACATATGCCAGGCCTGTAGATGGTGCTGTTCTCACAGAATCAGCCCATGCAAAGACAGTGTTAAATTGAGCGAAATGAGGAATGGCTAAAATGCATGATCTGTTTGGTATTTTGAAAAATAAAAAGTATAAATATGCCTTATATAGGTATGGTCCTACACTATATTATTCAAATATAGCATGATAGGTCCACTTTAACATATCTCACATCTTCTAAATTACATTAAATGCGTGATTATTTTAACTCAAAACATAATCTCTTCCTAAACCTTAAGGTGTATTAACTGCTTTCAAAGAGCATCTTTCGCTGGTACTCTCTAACGGACCAACATGTAAATTAGGGAGTCATTGACGAACAAAATATTCACTCTTTTAGGTACGAGGACAGGTTTGTTCAATCAACGGTTTTCACCAATTAGTTATTGGTTGCAGCACGTAGGTTGGAAAAGTCTGTATATTTTCTTCTGCATCGATTTTGACCACGACTCTATATTTTTTAAAATGCATATCTCTTTAGTTCCTTATCCTTAAGGCCATGCAGTATAAAGTGAAGTAAGTCTAAGACACGTTTCTTGCCTGCTGCAGTTTTAAATAAATGCCTTTACCTTGCCATCTTGACACCACTCTCCGTTCCACATTAACCTTCTCTCTTACTATATTTCCATCAATCTTAGATGTCACCTATTCATTCACACTTTATTATAACCCTCAAACCCTCTCCTCTGAAACTCATTCTTTCACATCACCGACCCTACATTACTTTACCCCATAAATACCAGCTAATTTCACCTGAACAGCTTTGTAATCATGGATCTTATTACCTAATATCAGTCTTCGCTCGTTCTCCACGTACCATCGCTCCACTGCTCTTTGGATCAGTTTTCAGCAGCTGAATTAAGCCTCTGCATCAGCCAAAATGCAAACAGACACCACCGGTAGTCATTCCCCAGCAGACCTCTCTTTCCCCTTATTTGACCCTCTCTTTGGATCCTCTCCAAGCACTTATACGTTTTTCCTTTCACCCTTAACCAGAAAAACCCCTCCACTCGACCCCCACGATTCCAAGAATTCACATCAGATTAAAAAGCTACAGTTCTCTGTTCTGTTTTTGTGACTGTTTTCTGTATCTTAAGGTGTAAAGACGATACAAATAAATACACATATCAATGTTGTAATGGGTCTGTACTGCTGCCAATGTAACACATTGTACTGTATGTAGACATTTGACGATGCACTGAAATGAAAAACCTTGTTGTTGTTTGCGTCTCTTGTTCCCAGACTTGTTTATCGAGAGGTTTTGTATGACGGGGGGAAGTAGTCCCATCGGCTACCTGAAGGCCTGGCAAACCAACCTCTACCTGTCTGCAGATGCCGACAAGGTCAGGGAGGCGCTGTCTGAAGGTGAGAAACATAAAAACCATAGAATAAAAACACACATTTTCACACGTACAATGTGTTAGTGCGTTAGTGTTACATACTGATGTCACTATGTTACACACAGGAGTCCAATGGAGGTGGTCTATGGACAGGGTGTTTGGGAGAAGAATATGTTAGCCTTTGCAGACCATTTACATGCACACAAATCTATATAACACACTACAGGAAAGGAACATTTCAAAAAAGCATAATTGGACCCCTTTAAACTTCAATTGAAATGGAAGGAATAGGTGTGTTTATAACACACACACGGCAAGTAAATGTTCTGAACCATTTATTTCCTATTTGCATTATAAGTGGCAGTGACTGACGTCTTCTCGTGCTGCAGTCACATTACCATAAACCAGAATATTGATTTCTTCCCCTCTTTGTGTTTCCTTGATGGCTTTCTCCATGTCATGGCACATCATGACTTACACTAAAGCGAAACAGGATGTACAACATAATTTGCTCCAGCTGTAGCTCTGAATACGTATCAATCTTTGAAAACACGTAGCACTCTCTGCCAAAGAAATACAAAATGTTAATTTTCTCTGCTGACAAGGAGCTGGAAACAGAATACATTGATGTGTAATTTGTCGGATTGGGGTGACAACTGCTTCTGAGGGTTTCATTTTGTTCGGTGCGGCACATTTCATGCTACATTATTAGTGTCAAAAGTGAAGAGCAAATGCAGAGGAGAAGAGACAGATATGGTTGAAAAAGGGGAAAAACTGTGACGCGAATTCCAAATGAAAGATGAAACCTGTTACAAACCAAATAAAAGACAAGATTTGTTTTAGCTCGTTGCCACATATGGGTTTTTATTTATTTTTCTATAAAAAACAACATACTGTTTTCACTCTTGTGTCTGTGTGTAGAGGGCTGAGGGAAAATTAACTGGAGTGCCTCCCAAGGTTACTTCAGGGAAATTCTGCATGTGACTTACACACTTCAAGTCACTAATTGTGGGAAGCGCGCACACACACACACACACACACACACACACACACACACACACACACACACACACACACACACACACACACACACACACACACACACACACACACACACACACACACACACACACACACACACACACACACAATTCAAGCAAAGTAAGAGTCCTTGACATTCTACTTGAAAGGTCTTAATTAGCTACAAAGACATTTGTTAATACTCTGTGTAAGCTTGAGGCCATATTTGTGTTTTTATGTAACACTGCAGATGTAACAGTGTTTACTTGATTTGTTATAATGCTAGCAGGAAATAAGGAGATGAAGTGAACAAAAAGCACAACAAATGCTTATTTTTAATATGACCCAGCCAGCATAATCAAGGCATCTATTCATCTATTTAAAGTTCATTTAGCTAACATTTGGGTGTGCTACATAATATTTATTTCAAACAGTAAAAACTGAAGTTTCCTTTCAATTATACATTTTAAGTATAAGACTGAAATGTATAACAAAATAGGCTGTTTGTCGTGATTTATGAGGAGAAACCAAGAAAATCAATGTAAAATCTGACATTCAACTTCCCTATATATTCCCTAATGAAATATGTTTTTCCTAATTTGACCATCACTGAAAAATGTTATACTAGGATTTAAATTTGAACCTAGTTTCAAGTGAATGATAGTAATGTACATTAGAGTGAAGTGAACATAAGAAGCAAAAGCAAAAGTTATTGAAATTAATTAATTGACAAAAATAAAGTCTCTTAACAACTTGACTTAAACTCCCACTGTACAGTTGACATATATATTCAATTTAATATTGTATAATCCATTCCTTGCCCAATTAATGCATATATAATATCCTAATATCCTTATATTTTGTTACTGTACATTTGTATTTCCACATGTATATTTTTTTAATTTAATTTTACTTCCATTTCAAAAATATGTTGGATTGTTTAATTCTAGTGTTTTCATTTCTCCTTGTCTTTTTATGCTGCTGCAACGCAAACATTTTTGGACTCTTTCCAAAAATATATTTGTAATCCTTTTCTTATTAAAGTCTCTTCCTGTGTTTTCGTTCAGGCATCGCAGCAGCCACCATGTTCACGTCGGAGAAGGTCACAGAGGTGTCAGAGTCCCAGCTCAGGGTGGCATTCGATGGTGACGCCGTCCTCTTTTCCGATGAGTCCGAACGCATCTTCAAGGCTCACGGGCTGGACAAGTTCTTCGAGCATGAGAGGGACAACGAGGACACGCTGCTGGATCATGTAAGTATCCCAGGACGTCTATTTGGACACTTCCTCTTGAACAGTATACTCAGCAGACACCGTTAATATATAATATGAATTAACACTAATTATAGATAGAATCAGTATAGATGCATTTCACTCTATCCAAGAATGTTGTTTTGTCATTTGTAATTAAAAAGAAAGCTTTAAACACTTATCTCCATCGAAGCCTCAAATAGCTATTTCCTTGCAGACCTACTCACCTGTAAATGATTATGCAGATCATGTTTTTCAATTAACAATCCCGTTTTATCACCTGGTTATTCTATGAATAAATTATGCAAAATTATATGTTAAATGCATTCAAAAGTCATTGCTATTCAGACTGTTAGTTTGTGCATCTCTCTTCAGTCAAACAGCCAGCAATTATTACATTTGCTTTAAGCTGTGCAGGCTTGAAAACAAATGGTGCGTACTTGGTGCTAATTCAATAACAATGTGTGTGCAACATGTTAAGTGTGACTTTGGCACGGGGGGTTTATAAGTGTCCTCCAATCAGAGTGTCAGCTGTTTGATCCAACCAACTGCAGTCAACCTGTGGAAATGTACTTTTAGCTAGGATATTGAAGTGTATGTAAGGCAAGGCAAGACGAGTGTATTTATATAGCACCTTTCAACACAAGGCAATTCAAAGTGCTTTACAAAAATGAAAGACATTAAGAGCTTGTTACGATCTGTCTGTGTTGGGTTTTTGTCATGTCTGGTTCTGTCTTTGGTTTCCTGTCTCTGTGTTTCCCCTCCCATCTTGTCTGTTTCTGCTGATTGTTTGCACCTGGTGCCCGGTGTTGTCTCCTCCCGTCTCACCTGTGTCTTGTTCAGTTGATTAGTTTGTGTGTATTTAGGTTCTGGTTTTTCTGTTGGTCTTTGTGGGATTATTGATGACTTTGTTAGAAGGTTTTTGTGCAGAGGGATTTTTGTGTTTTGCCATGCCTGATTTTACTTTGTTGCTCGTTCCGCAATAAAAGTATTTGGATTTGGATAGTCTTCATTTGGGTCCTGTGTACCTTGCCCTCCAGCCGTGAGAGAGCCTGAAGAATCATATTATAAAATGGCATTTAAAAACACTAATTTAAAAGCTAAGATAATAAATCATGAATAACAACGTTACATTAATTAAAGTGACAGTGCAGTGTGAGATACACACATCTGAAATGTTTAGCTCTGACTCTCAATCATTGCAAACTTTTTAGCAGAAATAGTTTTCTTTGACCTCACTTTCTTTCTACTTTCTTTTTTAACTTATCCTTTAGTTAGTGTTGGGTGAAATAATCGTTCCTTTCCTTCCTCTGTGTTGCAGGGTCCCCTTAAAGGCTTCCTGGAAGCACTTGGGAAGCTCCAGAAAAAGTTTTACGCTAAAGGCCAGCGCCTGGACTGTCCCATCCGAACGTACTTGGTCACAGCACGTAGCGCCGCCAGTTCTGGGATCCGGGCGCTAAAGACCCTCAGGGCCTGGGGGTTGGAGATCGACGAGGCCTTGTTCCTGGCAGGAGCACCGAAGGGCCCCATGCTGGAGAAGATCAGGCCTCACATCTACTTTGACGATCAGATGTTTCACGTGGAGGGAGCTGCTGAGATGGGCACGGTCGCTGCACATGTTCCCTACGGCATTGCACAGAAACATAACGCCAAACAGAACATCAGTGTGAGGAAATAGACGGCAGGGCTTCACCGTCATCCAATCAGAAAAACAGAACAAGAGAATGAAGAAATGTCTTATTGAAGGATGAAAGTGAAGATGAGGATTTCCAGAGAGTTTGGAAAGATTCACTTGTTTGTGGAAATGCATCATTTCCATAAAGTAGCCATTGTATTGTAAATTTGGTTAATCAAAATGTAAACTGTCTCAGCTAAATGCTATCACATTAGGAGTTAAATACAGGTTGTATGCTTTAAATAATATCAGTCATTTAATAGACCATTATCAGTTGTAATTGATTTGAAGTGGTATGGCCCAACTCTACCTGTTAGTTGGCTCTGTAGGCTGTTATAATATACTGGTAAGCTGGATCACTGCAGGTAGATTTTAACTGTTGGACGGAGACCTCTAGTGGCCATAATCATTTTGACTGAAGCAAGAAAGGAAGTCAAATATTAAGTAGGATAAGCAAAAACGTATGTGTCACTTACGTCGCATACGTAACTTATGCAAACACAAGTAATACAAATAACTAATTTAAAGAAAACATAAACATTTCCTTAACCTAACAAGGAGGTTTGTTTCAATTCTCAACTTTAACAACACGTTTAAAACTGCAAATGTATCACGTTCAGACAAGATGGTGCAGTTTGCCCTGCCTGAATGTTATAACAGTAGTGATAATAACTGATAACAGCTATTTAATAGGCTGATAGTATTTAAATATGTTGACAGGTCAAGTAGAGGTCTTGATCCAGAGTTGCTTAGCGTTCCTAAGCTTTACATTTCAAGCCTCAATCTACCCAAAATTGAAGTGTTTTGTCAAATCTTGCTTTATGGTACATTTGAAGGTGCTTTCAAATGCTATGTTGACCTGCTATTTTCTGTCATATTCTTTATAAAGAAGGTTCCTCAGTGAATACAGAAGGAATGGTTTCATATTTACATAACATTTAGATTACAGTGTATGTTGGCAATACATGAACCAAAAGCACAGATATTACATTACATTGCATTTTAGATATTTTAATGTACAGATGATAGTGATGTACTGTAGCACAAGAGTCATAATATAAAGTTACTGGGTTTTTCTTCACAAGAATGTACAATTGTCTGTTTGTATATTACGGAAGGAATCAATATTATCTATGTCGTGTTAGTCCAAAATATAGAAAGCCATACGTTTCAGTTGATGCCTTAGTTTCAAGGAACACACTATTTTCAGTGGTAAGCTAATACTTTTTCGAGAAAATTCTCAACAACTGTTACATGGTTTGCAATAACATGGAAGTACAAGCATTGAGGATCCGAATACAATGAAATCTAACGGATTTAGTGGTGATTCCCTACATTTTCATGCTTTTTAATTGGTCACAAAAGTGTCAGTTCATGCTAAAACACCTTTAAGCTAATGGCTAATTCCCCATAGCATCCCTCAGTTGTACATAATACCATCAGCATGCTAACGTTTCTCTTCTAAGCATGTTAAAAGTATTTAATTACAGAAGACATTGTAGTATTGTATTACACAGTCTATACATTTAGACAGCCATACGTTTCAGAGGGTGCCTTCAAACTGACACACCAGCCTCTGAATTCCCTTTAACTGCAGTTGTGCACTATTCGCATGCTACAGTTGACTATGCTAGCATGCTAATGTTAATGGTTTTGAAGCTGATCTTAGCCTAGTAACACTTGAGGATGACTAAGCCCATTGTACACGGATTAAGGTTGACTGAAATATGACAGTTCTGGTATTAAATATTAAATTAAATATACCTAATATCTCTGCTTGATATGTAGTATTCAGGCTTTGCTCACTGAGGGGCAGGGCAAATGTTGCTTTACATATTTCTCCACTAGAGGTCAAAAGAAGAGTAAGAAAGAGTTAAATTTGTCCTTTAATTTAGTGTATAAGGATAACAGGATGTGTAGAGGAAGATAGATCTGTGTTTACTCACCATCTGAAGTATCACCAATAACATGTTTCAAAAGCAGCCATCTTGATTTGACTGCCCTCTCCTGTACAGGCTTTGCCACTGCTAAGGTGGCATTGATTGATGTTGTTAAATTCAACTTGTTTAACTTATCTGACGATCAATAACCAACTTGTAATCATAAGCTTGTTTTATTTACAGCTTTAATTTTAATTCTTGATTGACAAACAATAATGTGTCTTTTATTGACAAAATGGCAGCAGTGACCTTTTGGAAATGTCAATCCACTTCAGTGCTGGCAATTCCTGAAAAAAATAATTGTATATATTTAGAAATGATTAGCTACACATCTTGAGCTTTATGAGTAACTCAAAGCTTGGGAAAGTTACAAGCAACACAACACTTTTATTCCACAAGCAGATCGTGTAAATCATGTGTCTTTTGGCAGATGAAGAATGGCTGGGTTTTGAAGGTTGAAGATTCAGAAAGATCAGTGAGACAGTTTAGACTTTACTGTGACTCTAAGGTGTATAGATAAATGCAGATTAAGACATGTTTGAACTTTCAACAACATGCAGCTTTGTTGACATTTGTGAAAAAACGTCATTGCAATAAGAAAATGTATGAACACTAATAAAGATGTCAGTTCAAGTTATTGCTTTACTCATGAATGAACATATTGAAAGACCTTTATACAGTAATTAAACAACAATCAATCAATTACAGTTTATTTTATTAAGCCCAATACCACATTGTTTACATGTTTCTCAGGGGGCTTAACAGTTTATACAGAATACAAATACAAAGTACACTTTAATTCTGAATTCACTGATGTGCAATCCTGCATTGAACCACGGAGTGGCAGCACTGGAATGATAAATGTCCTTCTGCAAAAACTGGTCTTCATTCACCACATGTTGTTTGTATTCAGGATGAAAAATGTTGCAAAAGCACCCCTCTCTATTGATTTAGCAACATTAAACTTGTCTTAAGTTATTAAAATGTATATGAAGCACCTTATTGTTCCCTCCATGCCTTCCTCATTTCTCTTTATTTCAACTCAACTTTGACTACAATGCGCAGATTAATTTTATAACTCTCACTTTCCCTCTCATATTCCCGATGAGTAATGGGTTAATATTTGCACAGATTCCCTACTGAATTGGATCTTCCCGAGCACAGTCTGGGTAATAAAATCCAGAAAGAGCCAACTTCCAGTGCTGGTCATAGTGCTAACAACCCCACAGGGACTTTCCTGCTGGTAAATGCTGATGGATTGACATTTATGTGGATTATAAACTCCAGAACAGTCGGTTGATGTTATTGGAGACACAGTGGAGAGCAGGGGCAGATAGATAGGATATGGCCAGCTGGCGAACTGTGTAGAGCCAATGAACATTTCTTAATGACACACATGCACAGGCTGCCAGCTCTATCTATAAACAGACAATAACCATCAGCGTGAATGAAGAAAAAGGGAAAGATGTGCTTCACTTTGCCCAAATGATAAGGTGCCTGGGGAAATAAATCACCATAACAACCCTGCATCCTGCTGCTTACAGATACCCCGCTTTGTTGATAAATACTGGAAGGTGCTCAAGTGAGGCAGAGATAAAAAGAAATTGTGGAGAGTATATTTCATTTCAGACATTATACCTTGTGCTTTTCTCCCAGGCAGATATGGGAGGACAATCATGCAAGTAGGGAAAAGCAGTTATTTTATAGATAAGGGATACGTTCCACTGACTTCAATTGATGACCAGATGTAAGACATTGCGTAACATACCATAAGCTCAGATATAAGCTGTTTCACTGCCAGATGTGACCTACAGAGGAGAGGCAGCGCGGGGTTATGTTGGGGGTTGCAGTCGGCCTTTATCAGCAGTGCTGACACACAAAGTAAGACGGAGAGATATACAAAAAAAGATCTGAATAAAAACAATTATAATAATAAAGACAGATGGTGAGGAAAGCAGCACTTGCCCCAAAGACAGGGATATGTTTTCCTTCTGTTCGTTTACAAAGCAGAGTGGCACCCGGGGAGGGAAACGGTGAGAGACTCAGAGTCTTGGCAGAGGAGACCCAGCAGTGGGAGACAAGATGTTTTTGTTCCACACACACTTCTTTGTTTCATAAGAACTGAACTGTAGCTCAAAGCGTTGAAAAGTGTCAATTAGGCATTAAAACTCTGATGTGCAACAGTTTAACACATGGCGATATCCTCTTTCTATTCATTAGTTGTTGTTGCAAAGACTCATCATTTCATCCAAATGAGTGTGTTGTTTCCTTCTGGATAGACCAAATGCACTGAATGCAAAGTCCAGATGCTTATGGTTTAGGGAACAAGTAGTTTTCATTTGTGTGAGGAGTATATTTCCATTATGTCTTTCACTGTAGGCACATGTGTGTTTTGTTTTTTCAGGTACATTTATTGCCCTATATCCAAAATAAAGATTTTGTTCTCAAAAAATGTAATCCCCTCCTCTCTTTATATCTTCATTTTTCACCTTTAACAGACCTTATACGCCGTCACACATCTGTTGGTACAGTTCATAAAAAATGAAAAAGGAAGTCATCTGGCTCGTCGTGCATGTAAAGATAATTACTTAGAACACGCCATTAGATTTGTAATGAGCAGTATCCTTGGTGAAAGCAAGAGTCTGCAACTTCAAAACGCGCCTGTGTGTGTGTGTGTGTGTGTGTGTGTGTGTGTGTGTGTGTGTGTGTGTGTGTGTGTGTGTGTGTGTGTGTGTGTGTGTGTGTGTGTGTGTGTGCAGGTTGAAAGCATGTATTCTTATTGTGTTCATGTGTAAATCTGTGAGAGGACTATATCGCCTAATAATCAATTCATTAATGACGATGTTGCAATCAAATTATTCTCTCTAATGGCGATATCACACCATGAAAACTGACATGTTTTTCAAGCTGGTATTATCCTACATCAAAGATATTAATATTATAATAATATTCCATTACTCAAGGAAGCTAACCCTCACACACACTCACACACACACCATTGGCCATGCATGCCATTGGGAGCTCAACATGTTGACTGCAAGGGATCGAACCGACAACCGTCAGATTGCAAGGCGACCGCACCACCTCACCCACAGTGTGTGTGTGTGTGTGTGTGTGTGTGTGTGTGTGTGTGTGTGTGTGTGTGTGTGTGTGTGTGTGTGTGTGTGCAATGGATGAGAAGCAGCTGGTAACAGGAATGTGTGTACAAATGTAGAAATAATTCACCACGCGTGTTTGTGTTGGAGCCTGACAACAAAATAACAGCTTGTGTCACAAGTAAGAAAAAAGTTGATACTGTAACTACTCATACCAATAAATAAATAACAACTGCTGTTAATTAGCACATGCCTCGTGTGTTTTACAGTATTTTTACAGCATCTTGTCTTTTTGTTTAGCCATGTTTGCAGCGTGGCTCTATGGGAATGTTGGTCTGCCAATTGTCATATTCAAGTATATCTCCAATGTTTAAATGCATTGCAATGACATCTAGTACATTTAAAAAATGATTCCCATTAAACACACACCCTTTTAGGATTAATTGTGGAGATCCATAGACTTTTGATCGCAGGTCGAAAATGTCCTTTATGCAATACTGTGGCTCGCATGTACAAAACCAAACCATCCCAAACTCACAATTAGGATTTTTGTCGGCTTATCTGTTAAAAGCACAACATAGCTGTTACGGTTGAGTGAAGCAGGCAGGACCCAAAGGCAGAATAAACTGAAATAATACCTTTATTTCAAGGTCAAGAGGCACAAACAGAACACTAACACGAGAACACAGTCAAAGACAAACAGTGAACCAACAATGACAGACAGAAAAACCAGAACTTAAATACACACAAGACTAATCACACAAACCAGACACAGGTGAGGAGGGAGGAGAAAACACAGGGGGACCAGGTGAACACAATCGGGTAATCAGGAAGGGAAAACAGACAGAAAGCAACAGGCAAGACAGGAGGCGAAGACTTTTCAAACTAAAACATGAAACCAAAGACAGAAAAAGACAAGACAAAACACAACACAGACAGATCGTAACAATAGCAAAACATGTTACCATTGTGCTTTAGCTAAATATCATAAGGGATTTTAATCAAATCCTCACTTAAAAAGAGTGAACACCTGGTACAAAAAACAACTATAAAGCCCCCATTAATCCTCTTTCCTGTACGCTTTCTGTCCCATTAAAACAAATAATGTTAACCATTGGGTACAAAATCACACCTACCCCCCAAAATACAACTGAAATGGCATTTACCTCTGGCTTGAAATGTGTATTGACCTTTTGGCACGCAGCTGTGAGGCGGAATTGCTTGTGATAGGATTGCCATGCCCTCGGCTTTTAACGGTAACCATAGAAAATCAACAGTATGGTATGAAAAATACAAATAAAACTTTTGTTAGTGCAACGATTTATCTCAACTGTTTGAATAAGACCCTGATAGGGGAAGATTACCCCTCTTCTTAACGTAAGCATTAAGCGTTCCAGAGAAGAAGATTATGAGTAGTGTGCTAGTTGGTTTTAACAAATATACCATGCACCATAGCAGTGTAAGATGTTGATGAAGAGGCCCTGTATGCTTTTTGGGGTTCTCCCTTTCCTGTAGTGTGTTATATGTTTTTGGGCATGTAAATCCCCCGAAACGCCTCCATTGGACTACTTTGTCTACTTCTAGGACATATTGACATCACTATGTAACATGCACGCTTCTTTTGGCTAGCGCTCCAACACATTGCACGTGATAGGCTGAGGGGCGGGACATCTCTAAGCGGTTGACCAATCACAACAGAGCTGACCAGCTAACCAATCAGAGTAGACTGGGCTGAACATGAAAGCATGGAAACATGTCACAGTAGAGGCACAAAGTCAGATATGAACCTGGACATTAGCATAATAGGGCCCCCTTTAAAATGTTCGCTCTTTCATTTTTAAAGTCTTTCAGGTGCTTCAAATTTCTTCCAGAAGGATTTATCCAACCGTGATAGTATCCATAGCAACAGATTAAGGCTATCCCTAGAGAGAAATACAAGTGGATTAGGGCACAAACGTTTATGTGTGTGTGTGTGTGTGCCTTTACTAAATCATATTTGTCATCAGCACACTTAAACTGTGTTTCCATGGCTACCTTATCCAGGATGTTGAAGGGAAAAGAGGTAGAAGAAAAAAGACAGGAGCAGGAAAGATTTTTGGAGCCAGGAAAAAGCCATGAAATATGGACAAGAAGGCAGACAGAAAATTAAAACTAATTATTAGGATATAGTTTTCATTGGAAAACACATTTAAATCCATGCAGGTGTAAAGGCATTTGTGTAACTGCCTGGGCACAGAGGGAATTTAAAACATACAACACAAGATTACAACAGAAGTGTGTGTGCACACAAGAAGGGGACACTTCAGTGAAAGAGTGGAGAGGGATGTTGCTAAGCATTCTTCAGAGAGGAAGAGGATAGAAGAAAAAAGAGAGGCGGAAAGGATAAAGGAGGAGAGGACGGTTTGAGACATGTTCTGCCTCTCCTGGGACATGTCTCCATGCTTTAATGTTCATAAAGCTCTTTATTTTCCTTATACTGCCTGTGCTGCAGCACCTCTTTTCACCCTCTGTCTGAAACCAGAGCCCAGTCTGCTCTGATTGG